AATGGCCAAGCATGGAAAATAAAGAATGTATAGAATTTCCCCCCCCCCCGAAATATCGTACACCCCTCCCGATGTCGCACCTCTTGGAGGTTCATTTCTCGGAGCATCTCCACAAATCCTACCCACAGTGTACATGCCAGATCAGAGTGTAGTTACTTTTTATATGAATTTGATGCAAAAAATACAAATAATATTTTCAAAGGATTATGTATTTTAATTATAAATAAGGAAAGAAAAATACTGTTTTCTTATTTTTGAGTCGGCGCTTTGTTGCTGGAGTAGCCACAGCCACATTTCAAGCATTTTGCGAGTTTTGTTTCTTTTTTTTTATTTTTGGAAGAAAAAGAAAACTGCTGGTAGGTATAGTTTGTTTTATACATTTTTGTACATAATGGACTTGAACGATGATTTCCTAAAGTCATGTTATTTCATAACATTGTCCTGCAAGCATCGTGTGCTTAGATGTATGCTTTCGGTGTGTATAAGATACATGTATCTAGTGAAGTTGGTGACTTTAAGGGGAAAAATTAGATGAAATGACACCAGAGTATCTGTCTACTCCTTTAAGATATATATTTGCACAGATTGAGGTTTAAGTCAGCGTTCGAAGGATTAAAAAAAAACCGGATAGTGTTGCAAGTAAGCCAAAAATCACTTTGTAAAGCTTTGCCCAATTTAATTAAGAAATCTTATACATGTAAACTGTGAATATTAACCTGCGATGGAAAGATAATACCCAAATTACTCAGACAGGAAATATTGAAGCGGTTTACCACCCAACTGAATGTATTCAGTGGAGAACAGAGTTTTCTAACGTGGGTGTTAGGATAAGGAGAGAAAAAAACTTCCTCCTCTTGTAACTTTCTAGAGAGGAGAGATTTGTAGCATTTGGGCGGTTTAAGTTTAAATCAGATGTGAGATATGGCTTAGAGGTTTCAGCTAGTAGAACCATGCTCTGAGCTTTTGTTGGGCGGTACATTTCAGATGTGGTGAACTGGTAGAGGTAACCCATTTTGCAAGTAGCTGAGCTACCCAGGGTCTGTGTGCTGTGGTGACGTTGCTTTTTTTCGATAACATCCACAGAAACGCCTAACTCTGGAAAGACCAAGTGCGTGAGTTGGACCATTCCAATCATTACAGGAGGGGAGGGTTTGTTCTCATTTTTGGATGGATGAAAATTTCCAGGAGAGGACTTTTTGGGAAAACTTTAAAAATCTAAACTTGCACCCACGCTAACAATGGTGACCTTTCCAGCTAGCTTGTAAATTTGATTGGACAGGGCATACCAAGACCTCAGCACATAGGACATCTGAATGTTTAGAGGTTGAATTGAACGTTGAACAAAGTGTAAGCTCTCATTAGGAAAATGAGCCTCCTTCCCAATGGAGTGATCTCAAAGGTACAGCTCCATTAGAAAGAAAATCAACAGTTTAATAACTTATGAATATGTAAAGATAGTGACTGTAGCTTTATTCTGTAAAAAGTGTTTAGGTGTTTAAAAAAAAAGTGTAGAATACTAAATGGCTTTGGTATATCCCATATGATCCATGTTGTAGTATTGTTGGCTGGTGTGGCACAGTTACTGGGAGAATTGTTGGTTTAAGTGTTTCTCAATTTTTTTTGGGGGGGGGGAAATGTTCACTCATTCGGATTCAGATATCCTACCGTTTTGTGGTGTTTTAGCACTCTTGGTTTGCAAGCGGTAACACGTTCTTAGGACACTTGTAATCCCGGATGAAACCGCTGTCCACGAGTGACACGTTTTGGGACCTGAAAGTTTAGAAACTTCTCAGAAGTATTTCAAGCTTACCCGTCTATTAAAGTAACTCTGCTTGAAATATAGTTAAAATACCCATATGATAAATAACTTGTAATTGACCGATGAACGCTGATGAATGCACCTCCATAGCCGTGATAGTAACACTTAAAAGTGTACGGTAAATGTTCATAAAGTTAGCAAGTATTTAGCTAAGGATATCTTGTGCCAGCTCTTTCTGAGATGGCTTTGTCATACTACTCGGAATGTTACTGCAGGACAAACAGGTAGACCTAAGCCTAGCTCCAGACGCAAGATCTGCTCACAGCCCTACGCCACCTTTGACCACACAGTACACAAGTCAAATCCTAAGCCGTTTGGCAAAGTATTGGACCCAGGTGAACCTGACCAGCTTACTTTTTGTCTTAGCCATGAACGGGGATTGGAAATGACTCCAGCACTGTGGCAGTCACCAGATGTCTGAGACTGAGTGACTCATCTGTAAGTCTACCTCAACTATGACAGTATCAGACTGAGTAGTATCGCTCGGCCCACTCAGAAGAGCTGCACCCGACACAGACTGCTTATGACTTTGTGTAAAATTGGCCTCTCTCTCTTTAGCTGCCCCGAAGATTAAAGTGAATTGCTTTAATAAAAAAAGACGTCACTGCAGCAAATTACTCCCGAGTCAGCTAATAAGTTTTTCTTGCATCACTCGAGTGGATGTGTACCATTCATGTTGGGAATGATAAGTGAAAATGATCCCTAACTTTCATCTTCAAATTTCGGCGTATCCGGTAGGACTCTGAATATTTTAATTCAAGATCGTTTTCCTTCACAGAAAAGTACATGTATTGGATTCTGAATGCTGCTTGGGTCGATGTGCAGGAATCGAACCCTAAACCACCCAGTCACCAGCGCAGGCATCTTTACCACTCAACCACCTTTCTTGCTAGGCTGGGGTGGCCGGCCAATTTTACTCGGAGGCAGAAACCCTGCCAAAAGCTGAATGCTCCTTGTCATAAGAAATATTTTTTATTCTGCGCAAAACAATTTACCTAATTATGATCGTGACTTATGTTTTAGAGAAATTTATCTAAGTTATATAAAAATCATCTTGAGTAAGGCAGCTAAGCAAAATGTACTTTGAGCTTCGAAATTAGAATTTGATTTGATTTACATTGATTTCAAATGGTTAAAAATTAAATGTGATTTTTACAATTTCAGTGCATGATACAGTAACTGTTTCTTCTGGTTAAGAAATAGGTAAAATGTTTACAGCATTATTTAGCACCACTTTGATTTGAACAAAATTTACGTTCTGTTGCATGATAGTAAATTTCATTTGCAAAAATCAAAATCACTGTAACAGGGGTAAAGTCGCATTTGATAAGATTATGCAAATTTCAAACCTGATTTTTCATGCACTTAAAAACGCTTTTGTCCTGCTGCTGACGGTGAAACTGTCAATCCTAATTTGCAACCATTGCTACAAAAGCAGTGTGAAAAACGGCACACACTCAGTTCAGAACACTCCACGTCTACAAGAAGCCTTACAGCCGTTTCCATTTGACATTCTTGAAAACACAAGCTTTCTGCATACAATATGGGTGACTGAAAATACAGAGAAGCATCTAATCAATTGCAAAACGAGATCAAAATTGCACTGCTGTGCAATCTAAGTCCCACAGGATGTGTGTCGTGGCCCTGACTAAGTTGAGTTTCTCTGAATGGCATGCACGGAGTTTTGCAAAAAAACAACATCGAGGGGTGGTCACGTCCCACTCAAGTGGCTGCGGTTGGGTGTAACATACAAGTCTATGGTGAGTGGCTGCGGCTGCTAGCTGCGTAGCATTCCATAGGCTCACATGTCATGAAGCAGGCCTAAGAGGTCAGTAAGCTGGTTCCCCCACTGTGCTATAGACTTTGAAAGGCTGGGAACCAGTGTCAGAGACACTGTTTCACCAGTTTGCACGCACTCATTTAACCTAGCATTTCAGAAATGCTACATTCTATACAAGCTGGTCAAATTTCCCTAGTAGGCTATGTACAAAATGCATCCTGGGTACTGGAGAAAAAAGGCCAGTGGTTGACAAATGATCATCACTCCAACTTGCTATATGCTCTGGACTGTCATTAATGGTTGGAAACTGTGTGAAAAAAACCTATATAGTTATTCTGCAGTTCCATCGAGATCTCTGCAGTGTACAAGCCGAACTCTCCCATTCCACTAATTGTACATTTCCTTGATAGTGTCCTTGTAGTATTCCGACAGGGCGCGCCGTTTCAGCTTGAAAGCGTCGGTCAATAGCCCACTGTCCGGTAGCCAGATCTCTGTGCACAACTTAACTTTGCGAGGGACTTCCCACTTCTGAAGTTTGCCTGGCGGTCAAGAAAACGGGAGGGTTGGTAAGCTTGAGAAATGAAAGCTTTGGAGTCTTTTTAGTTCTTGAGTCAAGAAAGGCGGTGATGTATATTCACATGCAGTCGCTCACTCTTATCATTCAAGTGCTGAGCTAGCTCTCATTTCTTAAAATACTGGTGAAATGGGTTGCCATGGTAGCTTACCTTCCATAGCAACCTTTGCCATGGAGACCAAAACCACTTGCTCCACACTCTTGCTTGAGCATATCTCCTCGAATGACTTGCCAAACAGACCCTGCTCTTTGGCAGCAGCCTGTCAAAGCAAAACATAAAAATCACTTAGCTTCATCGTGAGGATGTCAATAACGGTCCTAAGGCTAAGAGTTTTTAAGTGTAAAAACTATGGCATTAGAATTCTGCTCATATCTTGGAGGATTCGGGAAGGCAATTATTGTTGTCATTATTTGGTATACCTCCAGGTTACTCCGGTAGGGCACCACCAGCCCTATGCAATAGTCAAAGTCGCCATCCGCGTAGATGCAGATATTCTCCACATAGGGAGATTTCTTGAGGACCGTCTCTATCGTTGCCAGGGAGACGTACTCTCCGGTCTGGAGCTTGACGAGGTCCTTCTTGCGATCTAGGGGGCAGGTAAAGAGAGGTATGAGATCAAAATGACATCTTTTACGTGTTCATGACATCCAACTTGGGTCGGCAGTTTTGGACTTGTGTACCCAGGCTTGCTTTTCCGGATTGTAATGATAAGTTAACCGACTCTTAAATAATGAGTGAAGAAAACACTTTCTGACCAATAATTCTAAGAGTTCCATCTGGCAGCATTTCTCCGATGTCTCCAGTGAAGAACCACCGTTGGCCGTCGACAATCTTATAGTATTCCTCAGTGAGGGCGTCATTCTTGTAGTAACCTATGGTGACGTTACCCCCGCCTATCAAGATTTCCCCCCGGGGGTTGGGCTTATCCTCGGGGGTGTAACCACCTGAAACAGAACACTCCCGGTTAATCCTTTCCTGGAAGAAAGTCAACCATTTTTTTTTTGTTAAGAGTTTTCTGCAAGAGAGTTTTTCTTACAAGAGAGTTGAAAAGAGCTACATTGGTTGGGAGCGTTCACTTTGTTGGTAGCGATGCCACTGTACTGTGTGCATTTCCTAGTCATTTGTGAACCAGCAAAGTTCAGTTCCAACCAAAGAAACCTCTGTTGTTAAGCAAATAGCGCCCTCCCTCGGTCCAGCTCAAGGCCAATCACTGAGACAAGTCACAAACACATGGAATATTTGACTGGGTCGGAGAACGTGCTAGTTCAGCGGGCAAACGAGGAGCGATATTTACCTTCTGGCCATTCCAGTAACTTGATCTCGCAGCAGGATAGAGGCTGTCCCACGTGGCGTGTAACGTAATCACCAGCTAAGACAAAGTGGTATTGGCCAGAATCAACTAGTGTCCTCTACACAGCTCCTTGAGGGGGCAGTAGCATGAGCTTTTAAGTTGCAAAAGCAGGATAACGGATGGTGGCTTTCAGAAGTCTTTGTTTGGTGGAACTAATGGAAGAAGAACTTCAATGCCAGCCTCAATCTAACGGTCCCATTCTGATCCACTGGTTTTGCAGAAGAAGTCAGCTTTGAAGCCTCTTTTCTTAAGTTTTTGCATATATACAGCGGCCCAACAGAGAAAGTTTACAGTAATCGGAAAAAACTTACCACAACTAAATGCTTTTATGAATGCTAGGGATTTAGGTCTACAATACAATATCCAAAGTGAGAGGCACTTTGGAACTGTTGGCTACCACTCACGTTCGCCAACAGTGCCGGCCCCGCACGTCTCCGTAAGTCCGTAGCCCTGCGTGATGCAAGTACAGAAACAGCACTGGATGAAGCTTTGGGCGCTGTGCGACAGCGAAGCGCCCCCACTCAACATGAAGCGCATGCTGCCGCCCAGCATGCGGCTCAGCCGGGAAAAAATCAATCTGTACAGGGAAGGAAAGAAACAAAAATTTGATTTGTAAGAAAAAAACTTCACAGTTTGTAATGAAACTATGCTAGGATCGGAAGATAAGAAGTCAAGAGGCGTACATGTTAAAGATGGGTGTGTCAAAGCCTTGCTCGATGTGTTTCAACTTGTACTCGTAGGCAAACTTGAAGAGCGCCCTCTGCAAGGGGGAACTGCTGTTGACTCTGTCCATCACTCCTTTGTAGAGACGATCAATGATGAGCTGGGAAAAAAAAGACAAGCCACACTGAACAGTAACCGTCATCACACTCATTACATATGCACCTCTCAGCCATATTTAGGATACAAACTTCTCAACATTTTGAAACCTTGTCTCTCCATTGTTCATATTTTAAAGGCCTCTTTTATTGGTGACCCAGGGAGCCAACAGGGGTTATCCACTCCCATCAAAGGAGCAAAATTACCACCCCCTTCTTTCTAAAAGTTTGTAAAAAGCCCAAATTTAGTCTCAATCCTAGGAAAGGCCATTAAAGGTTACACAAAACTTTCTTCACTTTTGACCAGTTCCCCCTTGAAAAATATTTGCTGATGCTACAGATTTCTAATGCGTCTAATGATCAGAACTGATAAAGTCAAAAAGCGGCCTGGTTATTTGACCTTCACTGCCCAGGATTGCAAAACTCACGGGGACAGTGGCCATGACGGTGGGCTTCAGCACGGTCACATCCCCCTTGGTGCCCCGCTTGACCTTGCTGGAGATGTCCGTCAGCGTGAGCGGGGACGAGTAGCCCAGCCGGAAGCCCAGGGAGAGCAGGGTGCACTCCAAGACCACCTCCAGGATGTGCGCCAAGGGCAGGAAGCAGACGCAAGTCTCGTCCGCAATCGCATGCGGGTCGCCACTGGTGTGGGGGGAGGGAAAAAGAACAGAAAACAGTGCAAAGAAAAGCGTGCAGTGTTGCAGTTGAGTACTGTCAGTGTTTCACACGTATTTTGTCAGGTCATTCTCCTAGTATTCCCGTTCTCCCTCCCTAAGTCTAGGGTGGAAAGTGAGATGATTCAAGGTCATGCCTCTACCTTGAGCTAGGTATTCTGTTCTTGGCACCTGACACCATGGACATGATGTTCCGGTGGGACATCATGACGCCTTTCGGGACACCAGTGGAGCCACTGGTGTACATAATGAGGGCAAGATCTTCAGGGTTGGGCCGAATGCGCGTTTTGTCTGCAAAGAAATAATGACGGGATGTATAAATTACTTGAACTTAGATAACAGAAAGTGCTTCTTATATCTACACTCAGCAATTTCAGAAAAAATAACTTTTTCAAATGACTGATACCGATTTTTCAATCAAAATTAAGCCTCACACTGCTTAAACTAAAAATTGTATTTTTTCATTTATTCCCTTATTTCTTTCAACAAACCTGTGTCCGATTCCCCAAGTTTGATGACTGATCTGAAAGCGTACACTTTCATTTCGCTGGGGACATTGCTGGTGTTTGGATTGGATAGCTGGTCTTCCATGTAGATGATAGTCTCAACTCTAGGTATGTCCTTCTGAATTGCCTACCAACAATAAAGAAATCATCTCCCGGTAATGTAGTCCACGTTTTCTTTTTTATGTTTTAAATCTTTGGATTTAGCTTTGAAAGTATAGCCTTGAAAAATTTCACATGACCATATAAAGGTAATGTGGAGTTATGCAAATCAGAATATGCAAATTGGGGAAACTTCGAACCAATAGGGATCCTTTAGTAGCTTTTTGGTTTGTTTTCTTTTTAGTTGCATAAAATTTGGTTGGTTCGGTTACTTTGTGGTAGCCAATACTCAGGAAGTGGTATAGATTGGGTCCCAGTAAAGAACTTAGAGTTATCAATTATTTGTGAAAGTGTTCCTACGAAGCAAAACAAATGGTTTTGGTTTAGATCTCAGACCTTTAATTTTCCGTAACTATTCAAGTTTGCCAGCACCACATCAAGATGAGCACCCACCTTAAACTTGGGCAGAAGACTTGCACTGGTGATAACAAAGCGAATGTCTGTCTCATTGATGCCGTGAGTGATAGCTTTCTCTCCCAGTGTAGCATACAGCGTCACCACTAGACATAGGACAAAAATTAACAGGAAATGAAGCATTTTAAACTCCATTTGGTTATTTTTTAAAGAAGGCAGCAGGCTAGATACTGTCCAATCAACAAGCCTATCCTTGTAGCTTTTCTGGTCAAAATTTTACAAGAACCAAATAAGATTTAACCAAAAAACACAAGAACGTTTGGGGCACCGACAGTTCAATGTACCAACAAGCCCAATTATGAATTGGGAATATCCATACGGTACAGTTATGACAGACAATGCAATTTTTGTAACGTGGCATGCAATGAATTCACGGCGCAGATTTGCAAGAGGGATGCATCCAAGCTTCACCCTACATCTCGAGTGGGGCACGAGATGACGATATTACTCCAAGCAGAAATTAACAGGATCCACAAAGCAATCTGCGGAACTTACCAGGGAAACCGTACCTGAAGCAAGCCTGGAGGCGATAAGGAACTCGGCTCTAGTTTCAGCAAAGATGAGGATGTTTTCCCTATGATGGAGCCCCAGGCTGCGCAGGCCACGCCCGAAGCAGTCGGCGGCAGTGAAGGCTTCCTCATAAGTTTGCCACAAGTAATCACCCATGACCAACTGGGTTTGGGGAAAAACATGAAAATGGTCAATTCAGACCCCACAAGGATACAACTTCTACTGATAATTGACTCAATGCAACTTTTAAAAAAGGATTGACCGTGGTTATAGGAAAGAAATATCTCTGTTGAAATCCTTTGTGGGAACAGGAAACAAACTATTTTGAACCATTTTGGAATAAAGGTAAACTCAACTACAGTTTAATGTATAATGAGTCAACTTTAAAATTTTTCAAAAACTCTTGATAAATGACAAGACAGGAGAAAGAGGTCTCATTTGAGATTGAAAAAAAAGGGAGAAAATATGAAGGAAAGGAGAATAGTGTAAAGAAGCTAAGATGTGAAAAGCTGACATTTGGGAAATTTCCAGACAGATTACCTTTCCATTTGGAAACAAGGAATTTGGAGGGGGGTGGGGTGGAAATTGAGGAATCTTCAGTGACTTTAGTGCCCCAATTTGAACCTTCCCTAGTGCTGATAGTGGGCAGGTAGAAAGAAGGAGGAGATATCTTGGAAGAATGTTCCGACCTTCTTGAAGAATTTCCCGTTGGGTTGCCTCTCATCTTCCTCCTTGTAAATCTCCCGCGTCCCCAGGCAGGGCATCTTGCCGTACTTGTATGTCACGTGCTCAAACTCGGCGTCCAAGGTCGGGTACTTCTCGTGGGGATGGGTGGTCAGCTGATGTGGGTGTGCCGAGTCCCGATACGGCCCCGAGCAGTCGACGCCCATGTTGGTAGCCTTGGCGCGGTCGCGCCGCTGCCGGAAGGCAGACGCCACGAGATAGCAGGGGATGTAGGTGAGCACGTCGTACACCCTCGTGACCCCTGTCAGGAGTGTCATTATGATCGAAACGTAGAAGGGTTCCAATGGTTCTCCGTCTGGCATCTTGAGTTGATGGATTTAGGTTCACCTGTCTTCAAAGGAGATAATGGAAGTTTTTTGAGGTTTGAAAACTGACAAGATCAGCTGAATTTACTGACACAATAATCACCTAGGAAAAGTTCCACAGCCTCAAGTAATCCTACCGTAGGGGGTATAGGCCTATTCAACTTTAATCTGCATCAAAAGTGATTGCCTCAAATTTTGTCACGAAAAAAAAAAACACAGTTGGCCCATGCAACAAATTCCACTACTTCGGAGTTCGTCCAAACAAAAGCCCACAGTAACGGTGCAGTTCCTGTAGTTGATCGTGAGACTGCTTCATCAGCGGTGATAAGAGCTCTGGCTGTTTGTTTCTTGCCACATATCACAAAGTCCACCTGCGAACATCAAAAGTTCAAACCATTGTCCTCGCCCAAAGTTCACGCGCGTATCTTGCCCTCGTTGTTTGCAGACGGACTTCATCGGCCAACATAATTGGCCTTGTGCTTAATACAGATAGATTCAGAATACAACAATTTAGCCACACGGTAAACAGGACCACAATTAATAAATGAACACATCTTCTTTTCCTATATCGATACCCTAGGCTATGGGTGAACATTCTCTATTTAGTATGTATTCAATCGAACATTGGATTTTCTCTTCCAGTTGATCTTGCCCAAATCTTAATCTCCAAAACAAATCGAAAAGAGAACATACAATTCATGCATGTTATTTGTAACGACTACACATACATTCCTGTTAGAGCTGACAAAGGTAACAAGCCTAAAAACTGGAATGGAATAATTGTATTCGGCTTTCTAAAAACTTTGTCATTTCAACCTTTACGATAAACTGGGGCGGCGGCCAGCTAGCTGAACTGACATTAGTCGGGCTACCGTAACACGGGTTTTCCTCAATACAAAGATACGTGCCAAACAGGAGGACAGACTGGAGGTTATGTGGCACTTCGCATATCCGCGAATGTTGTATGTATGTACTGTCACCGGTTATTTCTGCAGGAAATTTGGCCCAGCTATAGGATTCATGTTATTATTTGAGCTATGGACACAATTGAAGATGGCGACGACTTCTTTGATGACTGGATCATAAAGTCGATGAAATCGTAAGTTCTGTGTTGTGAAACTATTGTTGGAAAGATGACACGACAACCTACTTAGTGTGTCACACTTGGTGCACTCGGAACATTTCTGTAACGCACGTGTCACTTAGCCATGTTACCTGGCTGTTCTTTTCAAATGGGGCTGCCATTAATGACAGAACATTTGTTCCTTAAGGCGTAAGCATCCCATGGCATTTATCTGATTGGGTTTTACTTCGTCTATTGGTTCTCAGGCTAATTTGGCATGGTTATAGCTACCTGCCACCAAACAGCAGTTTTTCAGTGCGGTGTCACTGACGTTACAATTTTCAATGCCCTCCAGCTCCACGCATCTGCATCATTTCACATCTTTATCAGCAGATATGCAAATGGTGCAATAAGAAGTGGTTGTGTGAGCTTTATTTTCCTGTTTGCAGTTAAAACTACATGATTGTTTTTGCTGAACAGCTTAGGCCTACATAAATTTGTTAATATCTAGATGTGCTATTTTGAAAAGTAGCTTCTTTTTTTTTGTATGTGCTATTTTTTGTTCTCCCGCAGTTACAGACATCTCCACATGTTTGACCTGCCTCAGCCAACTTGTGTAATTGAATGGAGTGAAAATGATGGTAAATTTTTTTTGTAGGTCATCCATAGATCTGAGTTTAAATACAATAGAAAAGAAAATTTAACATCAAATAGGGCAAAGTTCCATCAGTGCCCATTTGTGACCCGTCACAACAATATGAGCATGATAAAATTGCATTCCGCTCTTTTCTATTTTGAGGGTTTAAACTCATATTGAAGTAGAGGTTCAGGGGGGCACTGTAATATTTGGAAAGAGTAAGCTGTCTCCTATTTGCTTACAAATATTTCGCAGGATCAGAAATGTTGAAGCAATGTTGGGAACAGAGACGCAAAGCCGACAAAATAATGTCACGTTGTTATCTCATACTTTAAGTGTTCCTAATACATACCATTGGAAAGCTTTCTTTTGCTGAATTTGAATGTACCAATATCTCATTTTTTTGAAAATCCGACTTTCAGCTCATTTTGTGGTGACAGGTCACATATGTCAATCACTTGACACTTTTTCTCGGTACCAGCATACATCGTATGCACAGGTTACCAGGCAAAGTCTAGCAAAGTTGAGAAATGGTTGCTCATGATTGGACTTGGCCCAGAAGTAACTCAGAAAGTAGCAATTTTAAATGATCAGCCTTGATTTGTGAAATTAATTCTGTTGCCCCAGTCCTTGGGAAATAATCCTACTTATCATTTTTACCCAGCCTTCCTGTGAGTATGCAACTGTTCGGATTTCATGTTCATCATTTCAAGATTAAAAGTAAATTGCTAATACATGGGTAAATTTCATTTGCCATAGATTCATTGCACCTTGTCAATTTTTGAAAGACAGGCTGTTCTAAATGGATAAATGACCTTTTCTAGGTGAATTTGAGACTAACCATAGCCCTAGGTGCATAATAGTTGAGCTCTATTTCTAGGTGTTGTGCGTGCCATCATAAGTTCTGAATGTAACCCACTCTGTCCCCCAATACTCAAGGAATCTTTGTAGCCGGCTGCAGCTCTGATTCTCGTAACGAGATCCTGGAGATGAGCATCCCAGCCAAGTTGAGGTGGGAGTCCAGTAGCAAAGGAGCGGGACTGACCAGGGACAGAGACTTCAAGATGCTGAGGGGAGGCTTCAGCGAGAAGGCCATCCACTGCTTGACGTACCTCGTTGGAACTCGACCGAGGTTGGTGGTCTCAGGATGGGAGGCAGGGGGCCTAGTTATGGGGGAGGGGCTAGGGAAGGGGTGCTGAAGAGGAGCTGGGCAATGCAACAGTTTAGACGGAGAATTCAAGTTGTTGGGACGAGCAGTAGTCCTCTTTGTGAAGCATCTCAGGAGAATCAACCAAGGTCAGTGGTCATACAATGTGGGGGGGGGTGTTCATAAATAAGAGAGAGTAGAGTCTAGAGAGGGAAGTAGGATGATAAAGCAACGGAGGTACAGACTTCGTGATGGGAGGTTTGTTGGTCTGGTGTAGGCTGGACGAGATGTAGAGCCAGTCTAGCTGAAACAGATACTAGTATCACTTCATGTGTAAAGAGTGAGACTGGCTATTCCTAGCAATAGCTAAACGATTTACATACTGTACATACCAGGCAAATCTGCCAACCAGCATTGCTTATTCTTCTTCAATCCATCTTGTTCTCTCAATTTCGATACAGGTGACGTGAATATCACTATTTTAAACAGGGTTTAGCTCCCACACTGCCAAACAAATATCTGTTTTAGAAATTATAACTAATTGTATGAACACGATATGTCATAGTTAGAGCAGCGATTTTTAGCAAAGTGTCAAGAATTGTAAATTGCCTCACCCTACTAATGAGTAATTGTGAAGAAAGAGGTGGTAGCAGGACTTACCTTTGTTATGTATCCGACAAAAAGAAGGGAATTAAAAAAAAGTACAACATGCACATACATACATGTAGAATGGAGACCGGTCACAGTCTGAAGGTTGCACTGGTGTGATCGCTGCTAGGGGAGGAAGAACTTTATTTTCCCAGGGACCATTTGCGACTACAATGGGACGTTTTCCAATGTTATCAAATATCAGGGATGTGCAAATATTGTCGTTGAACTGGCAAGGTCACAGGCATATGGCAAACCTGGCGCATTAGGAATGGATTGACTGGGGTGGAGGGGGGGTTCAATAGTTATCATGAGGGGCGCGGCTTATGAGAGGAGGAGACACAGTCAATCGGAAACTGTGGTGCAGTGCAGGATGGCGGTTTGTTTGCACTTGCTGAGCATCAGAATGGATCAGACGCAAATACTGTGTCTGTTCGGTCCAGGTACTACGGTTAAGATTACACATGGAGCCCACAATTGTAAACACGACTCAGCAGGCCAGAATTGTTGACAGCTGTTGCCATATTTAGTTGTATTGGTTGGGCCTTAAAGATCCTTGTGTGCATAGAAAAGCTGGAGTACATTCTACATTGATAATTGGAAACCTCTACAGGAAAACTTGGTTTTTAATTTCCCGTTGATTTTTATTTCCCACAATTCTATCTTTGATCATCATCATTTCCTTGAAAGCAATCCCATTTTGCTTCTTTTGGGTTTGCCGTTAAGTTTTCACAATACTGTTATGGAGCAAGGTCTATGAATAAAGATTAAAAAGTGGTTGAGTAGTAGAAACCGCCATCACAATATTGGGACGATTAGACAGAATTTTTGTGATGGCAGACATTTGGCTCATTCCTCCAATTTCTTTTCCTTTTTCAGACTTATTGTCACTGGTAGTCATGCAAGCTCCCATTTGGACGTGTGGCAACTGGACACGGAGACCAGTGATGTCATTAAGAAGCTGCACACTGTGCCGGGGCAGGGCACTGAAGGAGGTGGGATCAGGAGTGTGGCCCAGCGGCCGGGACACCGAGGCCAGGTTGCATTTGGCGCCATGATGTCAAACCTGCAGGTTGCTGATGTGGAGACCAAGGAGGTCATTGCAACTGGTGAGATAAACCTAGTCAAAACAATGTAAAAGAGACAGACACCTTGTAAGTTGATAAACAGACAAGACAGGTAAAAAAATTTATGTTCAGAAACACACAAAGAAAACCAGATCATTATTAAAAAAAAAGACTAGAGTGAGTAATGAAAAGTGTCTTTGTTTAAGTTCCTGATGGTGCAATTTTCCTCAGCAAACTATTTTCAGTAACGATTTGTTTTATTTGTCACAGATTTTGGAAAGGTGGAGGGTGGATTGGAGATGCAGTTTCTAAATAACAATGAGCTAGTGACCTGCAGTACCCAGAATGGCCTTGTTAATATTCATGACCTAAGAACAACTTCCAGCCAATCAGTGCTCACTGATCAATCAATGAAGCTTTCAAGTGCTGAAAGTAAACACTGCAGTCTTGATGAAGGAACAACCCAAACGTATAACAAAACCATCAGCCAATCAGGTTCGGGGTTAGATGTTGCTGTTGATGAAAGCACCAATCAGAACATCTCTAAGAAAGGGAAAGCCTCATGGACCTTTGATCTGAGCTGTTCACCAGTGCCACATCTAGATCCTGCTGGGGGAGAAATTGCTTGTAAGAGACCCAAACTGGATGTTTCCATGGCAATGGTGGTTAGTCTCTGTTCCAGTGGTGAGCTTGTTATCAGAGACCTCAGGAATCTTGAAATGCCACTTCAGCATGTACAGCTTGGAGATGAGAAGAGACAACCGAGGGAGATGGAGACTCTGACTGTGAGGGTAGGTGATAATCAGTATGTGATGAAATCAGTTGATGTGAGTTAGACAGTGTGCCTCATCACTTGAATATGCATAAAGCCTTGACATGAATAATGTGTCATTCGCCAATATCTGTATGAACCATTCTACAAATGTGATAGATGACAGCGCAGAACTGCATCCGCTCATTCAAATTTTCTTTCCCACTAATAGAGGGCTTCCATAGTTTTCACATTTCATCCTTTGGGTTTCAATTCTTTCTAGTGGTGCCCAACAGAAAAGAACTTGCTGTCAGTATCTGGTAAGAATGTTTACTTTTGGCATCATTCAAAATGGTAATATCATTTAAACAAACTTTTTTTAAAGCAGAAAATGAACTTTTTCATTGAACTGATTTGTGTTAGCTGGATAAATCAGAAAACTGAAGATTGTCCTTTTTGGGGGCAGGATTGAATGGATGCGTGGACATCTATGACATTTCTACATGGCAGCAGAGCTCAACCTCTCCACCCAATGTACAGCCTATCTTCAGCCATGAAGGTCACATGACAGGGGAATCAGCCAATCAAGGGGGAGGGATATTATGTCACGCCTGGCATCCAAGGCACCCGTGTGTGGTAATGTCATCGGGTAGTAATGGCTCTTTGCATGCCTGGGATTGGTCAGCTGTATTATAATTTTTATGAAAGAAATTTTTACCTATAAAAAGTTTGTCATTTGTAAACATTTTTAAAATTATGAATGAAATCATGCCTGTGAAAATGATGATTAAATCTCGCAGTTGGAGATAAAACTTTAAATATATCTTGTTTACTCTCGTTTTTTATTGGATGTGTGCTACTTTTAAATGAATCAAAGAAATGTGAAGATGATGATGTTCGGACGTTAGGTCTGTAGAATTTTAATTCTGCATTGTGAACTGGAAACTCGCTTAGACCGCGCTTGGTCCACAAACTTTAGAAGACTGAGGTAAACTGTCGGAAGAGGGCGCTCTTATTTCACTCCTTGCTCCGCGGCCCATGGGGAAATAAATACCAGCCTGGAGTAACCAGGCAGGAATAAAGGCTAGAATTGTGGCTCTGGAGGATTTTTTTTTCTAACGGAAGTAAACTTCTACATATTTTTAAAAAGGGGATGTCTCCACGAGGCACCGAGACTAGTCTCCTCTCGAGAAAAAAAGGAAAGTACAGGATGTCTGTGCCCTGAACATAGAGCTATATATAGCTCTATGGCTCTAAGCCTATTGTGTAAAAGAAAATATTACCGCCTAGTGCGCGGTAATGGACACTAATTAAAAGTGGTCAAGCCATTGACTGGGGGAGAATGGTATGAGGTGGTCGAAACATGTACACGTATTTGTAGTTTTATTCGAGTGATCATCAACAAAACGAGGGCTGCATACGTTAGTTGTCATTGAGAATCCGCTTGTATTATTTACTTGTGTTCATTGATGAGTCAGATTACAGCAACATGACCCTGCTGTTGTTATTGTACGAATTTTGACCCATGCTGAAATATAAAACTCAGTGTTTCTGTAAGTTCTTTGTTTGGTCATGTAATTATTGAAAGCTATCATGTACGGTGAGTTTTGTTTTCGTCGGATGGCGTTTGCAAACTTTGCCGATTGATGCGGTTAAGCATTTGCCCTTGGAGAAAATCGTTCCGCCAAAAGTGCAAATGTTGCCAGAGGATACTGTCGTGCAGACTTCAGTTGTTGATGCTTTCTGAAGCACAACACACTGTAAACATAAAGCGAGGAGACCAAACTGGGAGCAAATAGAGAGCGAGGTACGCTTACATCGCCGTCTATTTGACTTTCTTTTGTCACCACGCCAGCGCATTTGCAGTTTGCCTTAAGTTGCGTCTTGGAAGACGAATTTTTAGACAGTGATGAGCTGCCGCTTCACGTTGAAGGAGAATGTGCTTTCGTTACAAATGCAGATGCTCCGTAGACCTTCATAGATTGGTCGTAATTAATGTACCTTGAGTGCTAGAACTACTGTTTGCTAGCGAACTGGCATCAGCCCCGGTCTCAGTTATCGCCTGGAGAGATAACTGGCGGTAATTACCGTCGTGTTAACAGTGCTTGGGACTGATCCGGGAGAGAATCAACAAAAGCTGTCTGACAAGTTTTAAGATAGCAGTGGCATGCCATTTTGACCTGAAACAACTCCGTGTGTCGGCCTTAAATCAGTGGATGAGTGATGAAAGGGCACGGGAAAAGAAGTACTCCGACAGGCGATGAACGGGGCTAGGAAGTTTCAGTCGTTGCTCTCGATGCAGCATGTTTTGTTTTTTTCCATACAGCAAAAGTTCAGTTGCTACCAACCTGTACACATTTCCGTTTTCCGTGAGATTTTGCGGTTGTGACATCGAAGTTTACCGATCCGGGACTAATAAACTTTTTACTGTTTATTTTGTTTAACCTGTCCGCATAGGCCTACATGCAAACTTGAAAGTGTCATGGATGGCGGTTTTCAAGGCCTTCTGGAAAACAAGTTCCGTTTTTGTTTGTAGACCAAGACAACCTGCATGATGAAGCAGCAACATCCCTAACCGGAAGAAAGGGAATTTTGCCTTTTCTGTGCATATCCTGCGACGTTTGTTTCACCGCATGAAAACTGTAATGGCATTCTAGTGAGGATGTTCATTAGCCTCCTGTGAAAAATACGCAGCGTGTGTGTCATTCGCCTTTTACAGAAACCCTACTGCTGTTCATCGAGCTGTGGAGACAGAAGAAATTCATAAATTACTTCAACGATGGTTCATGTCAGCTAATTAGCATAATGCTTCCTCATTCGAAGCTTTTATGGTGCTGAATGGTACTTGTAACCTCTTCACGTCAGTTTAGAATTTGTATTTTGGCCATATGCCGCTCTATGCCTGATTATAACGCCTGCCCGGAGTGCATGCATGCCCTCGACCGCCATTTCCGTGCTAGGCAAGGTGACGTCAGCTCTTGTACCGGCCAATGGGTTCCTCTTGAACTTCAGACAGTGCGCTTCAGAACAAACTGTTTCATCTGCCGATTTGCAACAACCGTAAATCTTCTATTTTTGAGATTTGGAGGATAATTTTGTGGGTTGTTTGATGAAGACATGACTTTCTTTGATTGACGTTCAAAACTGGAACTGTGGCCACGTCAACTGGTACGCATTTTGCGGTTTGCGTCATATCTCTATGGTTTACGCTGTGTTCGTACACGCGCGCGTGATTAAGGTAAACGCCTGTTGTGGACGCTTTACACAAGAAATAATGCCGCAACCGGAGCCGAAACTTCAAACGTAAGCATCCGATTTGGGAACTTTTGTTAGTTTAAAGTATGTATTACACCGGTGCAATATTTTAGGAAGATCTGTAAGCTCGTGCACGGGTTTTGAGAGATATGTGATGCGTCTGTACCCACTAGGCGCAACCGAAATAATGCGTGTCCACAACACGAGTTGTCAATCGTTATATTGCTTGTGAAATTGGCAGAGATGAACAGTGATACACATTGCTGAACTGGTGACATTTGGAATGTTGACGGTGATTATTAAGAATTAATGTTGAAGCTAAAACTTACTGGCAAAATTTGTACGAGAGACCTCGGATTAATCACTCTTGAATGCTTACGCTGTATCAAAATGCGAACAAAATGAATCTGTGATTACTGCTGGAAACTGGATATAATTTGAACTGACTCATTTGTAAAGAGCATAAAATATTCCCTTTTTTACATTTAATTAAGGGAGGGGACATGTGGGTTTGGTAAAACTGTGCAAATGTACCGTGATAAATCAATAGGGCGTTTTGTAAACCGCAAAAGTAAAGTGGATACTTTTGACAGTGTAAGTTGATTTATTTCGCAGGTTTATCTCACATGGTTTATTTACCGGATCAGATTCTGAAGAATGGGACATACAACTTTGAAGGAAGAGTACGAAGTCGACAAAGGGGCTATCATCGGGCGTGGCCGCTTCTCCACCGTCAAACTTGCCTTTTGCAGACGGCATGGACGCCACGTTGCCGCCAAAATCATCCCACTCTCGCGAGAAAACGAAGACGCGTTGTCGATGGCCTCGAGGGAATTCGTCATCATGTCTAGGCTGGTTCATGGAAATATAATAGATGTTTACGACCACTTCGTGGAGGCAGGATCCCTTTGGATAATCATGGAACATGCGCAAAATGGCGATCTAAGGAAGTTCGTGCACCTGCGCAGACGACTCTCGGAGAGATTGGCGCGAAAGTTCTTCGCTCAGATTTTGGACGCCGTGGCGTACATGCACAGCCAAGACATAGTGCACAGGGACATCAAATGCTAGAACATCGTCGTCACGGGAAACGAGGAGGTCGTGAAGATTTGCGACTTTGGATGTGCGGTTTCTCGCACCGAGCACACCGGGTCAGACCCGCCGTCGCAGCACCGGGATGGGTTCTACGGTTCGCCCGCCTACGCCGCTCCGGAAGTCTTGGACCGAGCTGGCGGCGAGTTGAAGCCGGCCGACGTGTGGTCGACTGGCGTGGTGCTGTTCTTCATGGTCTGCGGCTACCTGCCGTTTGGCTGCGATGACGTGGCGAGGATACGGACCAGGATGACCTCCGCACCTCTTCGCTGGCCGAGACCCCTGAGGCAGATCGATAGAACCTGTCGAGATTATGCGGAGTCGATCTTAAAAGTACGACCAGAGAACAGGCCAACCGCTGCAGACGCGCTTAGGGCGAAATGGATGGAAAAGAACTGAATTTTAATATAAAGATGCACATTCCTAAATTACAAACACGCATGAGTCTCGAGACATTCTTTAGTAATGGCCAAAAAAATTCAAGTTTTCACGTCGAATGACATTAGTATTGTATGAAGACAAGTGATAGTGACAATCTCCTTGACTGTGCGTCTTCCCTTTCTTTCAAAGAAACCCCACAAAACTTGCGTGGCGATTTTGAGTAATCGCCTCCAAATGAGGCTACGTGGGCGAGGCGCTATACAATCTTTGGTTTTATTCACCGATCTCCATTTTAATGGAGCAATGGTTTTAATTAATACGTGTACAATCATGCATTTTATAATTTAGAATTTAAAGACGCAATAGTTTGTGAAATAGTGAAATAGTTTGGTGTTTCCAAACACCAGCCATTATAAGCTTAAACAAGAGCAAGAGAAATGTGTTTTAGTCTTGCATCTTTCCACGTGATAGATTTCTGTCTTGGTCCCAAACCCGGCGTTAACAAAATGTTCCACAGACGGGATTGGTATTGGTCTGTTATTATTTTAGAGAACATTTTTATATTTTGCTGGTGATTTCAAAGCTTCAAGGATTTGGTCCTGCACTTTCATTTATTTTGAGAATAATCTGGCATTGTCGAAAACTCAAATCTACAAGGGTTTAGTGTTGCATTTTCATACTCGTCGGAAAGGAGGGGGGTTGCACCCCCCCAAAAAATGAGAAAAAAATTAAAGAGAAAATTTTTGAAAACGCGGAAGAAATGAAAACAAACTGATATGAAAGGAAACAAAATCACCAATTTGCCTGAAGAAACCTCCAAATTGACTCTCTCCCGCCATTGTTTCCTTGAAATCTTTTAATTAATTTAACAATTTCTTTTTAGCTGATATATCGATAAGTACTTTCCTCCGGAAACGCCAAGCTCTCCAAAAAGTGGTGTGCCTTTCCCCCACAGGGATGAAAAGATCCTGGCGACGCCCTGTACCCATGTGCGTTTTTATTACTTCTGGGGGGAAAAATCATTATTTCCGAAAAGATTAAAATTTGCAAGGGGTTAGCCTTGCATTTGTTTCATTTTCAGGAATGTGACATTTTGCCCAAACTTAAAATCTGCAAGGGATTAGTTTGGAATTTTCATACAATTTGAGAAACTGAAAAATAATATCTGTTATTCTTGTAGTTTTATTACCTTTTGGGAAAAATTACTATTGCTGAAAATTTAAATCTGTGAGGGATTTGTCTTGCACTTGTATTAATTTTGAGAAAGTTTTCAGAAAAACAAAATCTGTAAAGGGCTTGGTCTTGTATTTCTGTTTGTGATGAGAAAATTCCACGTTTGCTGAAAAATTAAATTTGCAAGGGGTTAGACTTGCATTGTCATTAATTTTTACAAAATCTGGTTTTACTAAAAAATTCAAATCTACAAGGGGTTAGCCTCACAATCCTATTTATTGAGAAAAATTTCTTAATTTCTTGAAAAACAAAAATTGCAAGGTGTTAATCTTGCATTTTTGTTAAGTTTGAAAAAAAAAATTGTTTCTCAAGAATACAAATCTGCTAGACGTTGGTCTTACATTTTAATCTAGTTTGAGAAAATTTGGGTTTAATGGCAAATTAATACCTGTAAGGGGTTACTCTTGCAGTTTCATTACGTTTGGGGAAAAATCGCTATTGCTGAAAAATTCAAATCGGGGCTAGTCCTGCCTTTTTATTAATTTTGAGGAAAAAGTTGAATTTTGCTAAAAAACATAAAATCTGTAGGGGCTTGGTCTTGTATTTCGATTTGTGTTGAAAAAAAGTGGGTTTGCTGAAAAATTAAATTTGCAAGGGGTTAGTCTTGCATTTTCATTATTTTTTTGAGAAAATCTGATTTTACTGAAAAATTCAAATCTAAAAGGGGTTAGCCTTATATTTCTGTTTATTTAGAGAAATTTCTTGGCTTCTTGAAAAATTAAAATCTGGGTGGGGTAAATCGTGCATTGTGTAGTAATTAAGAGAAAATTTTGAGTTTGCTGAAAATTAAATTTGCAAGGGGTTAGTCTTGCATTATATTAAGTTTGAAAACAATTTAATTTCTGCTTAAAAATTATGATCTGCAAGGGGTCAGTCTTGTACTTTTGTTAATTTTGAGAAAAATGTGAATTTAAAAAAAAAATTCAAATATGAAAAAATTTAATTTACAAGGGGTTAGTCTTGCATTTGATGAAAAGAAATCTGGGTTTGGTGACAATCTGCAAGGGGTTATAATTCCATTTTATTTCTTTTCAGAAAATTCTGGGTTTTTCTGCAAAATTGAAATAATTCCACATTAAATTCACAGGAAAAGAATTCTATTTACATTTTGTAAATTGTTACAAAGGGAAGTCTGTTTCTGCCATAGAGAAACCAACGTGAAATGTTAATTTCTTGCTGACTGACTATTCAGGATGAATATACATATCGTGAAGTCAACTGCGTGCTTATAGACTGAAATCCTAATTTAAATATCCCAAACAGTGGGATATTTAAATTATACAATACCAGAGGTTAGGTCGCACAAGGCATGGGAACCAACATGGCGGGGCAAAATCGTACCCAGGGGAACGAGATTGACATTTGGGTGTCTTGGCAGTGAGCATGCGGTGGGCGACGAAATGGCCAAACATCAACTAATTGCCATCAATTAAAACTTTTTTATAAATAAAACAATTACATGAAATTATCCAACAGCATAATTTTTATGATATATCTGATGACATTCAAAAGCCTACAAAATGCCATGTTCTTCTAGACGCAAATTTACAAGTTTCAAAGTCATAAATTGTATTGTTTCTACAACAAAACAATACTAGTGTTATCACCTGCAGTATAATATCCCACAATGCAATGCAACCAGCATTTACACATGGAACAAAAGGTCTACTCAAAATCACCCAGGAAGCTCTGATCTTCATCAAAGTGATCTGAAGAGGAGAATATAATACATGCAGCACCAGGAAATAGAACAATTTTGGCATTTTGCAGCTAAGGCTGTGTCTGAACCGGGCTTCCAGAGCTACGGCTAGGTCTATTGTCTGCACGTCTCTACACATTTCCAACAGAGCGAAGACCTGGACCTAGCTCTAGAAAAGAGATTCAGATGCAGCTTAATGATGGATTCTTTCAATGGCGTCCACGCAATATAGTGCCTACTTCAACTGCAGCCTTCAGTTTGGTACTGGTGCCTGCATAATAAGCCATTTGCGAGTTAAATTTGAATAAAATCTGGTACACTGAGTTATTTAAATTCACGTGAACATAACAGATTGAATTCTCCATACTTAAAACCACTGTTGCTATACCTCGTGATTCGGGGCTAGCTTTTCCTTAGTTACATAAGAGACGTCTTGCAACAATACACTGTTCTTGATGGATAAGAACGGCATAAAGGAATCAGTCCATCCCAGAGATAGTGGTCGCTGTGCAAAAGCTTGCCCCGAATCACGAGGTATAGCAACAGTGTCTTTCGTCTGGGGAATTCAAATTGTTACGTTTCTGAGCAATCAGATAACTCAGTGTACCAGATTTTATTCAAATTTAACTCGGAAGTGGCTTATTAGGATGCACGCTAAAATACGCATGTATGCATATCATCACATACTGTATACAGCGTCACCACGCAAGGTACATGCCTGCATTCTCATACAACCTGAGTTTTCCTCTTTTTTCTCTCCAAGAGCTGGCCTATTCATGGACTAAAAAATGCTGATTTCTAAAGAAAAACGAGTGATTCATCATTGCCTCCGAGTACTGGTCAGGCGAGGAAACAAAGTGAAAGACGAGAGACATGCATATCAATTTTTTACCAATGTTCGTAAATCTTCACTCCCTGAGATGCTCAGCTGATAATCTTCCAATACAATGGCGTGGTGATGCTCCTGTGCACCTTGACCATTCTATAATGCCCCAAATTGGCTTGTTTTTCAAGTCAATTCCTCGAAAATTCCACATTCTTGCTTTCATGCCTGGGAAATCCTTCAAAATCTCACAAAACCTTCAAATTGAGTTGGCTTCAAATCACATTCACTCATCTGACACTCAAAATCTGAGGTAGTAAATATACAGAGATTAAATTCCAGTCCATGTTAATCCATTACTGGCAGACCTGTATTCTTGGGAAAAAACCAGAGCTGTATATTGCAAATCAGATGCATCTATGCATCTGAACATGCTCACTTAAAGGTGAAAGGTCAACGTAGCAAAAGCAGAAAAACGATTACACTGTACATAGATTTTTACAATACTACATAATGAAAAAATAGAACACTATCATCAAAGCTACAGGACTACTGACCAAGTTTTTAGAAGTCGACAGGTTCTCATAAATAAGTGATCATAAACTCCCCCAAAGACAAATACGTGTACACGCATAACTGTAATGGGAGCCAAGCCGAAATATTGAACAAAATGGAAAAGAAACCACAACAAAGGAGAATTTCTGACAAAGATTACCATTTCAAGTTTGTTTTATGTTATTGTTATTAAGATTACTTAAACATCTGTCATGTGACTGATACCATATCATTCGCAACTCATTCTGAATGCATATCTTCTTTGCCTTTTGTTTTTTTTTTACACATTTTGGCTTTTGTTGCTCTGAATTTGGCAGTAAGTTTACAAAGTTTCAGAATCTGTGCAGTTCAAGTCAACGGAGTTCTCCTTTTGCGATTTTGGTTCAATGCTGCGACACGATCCAAGAACAGCTTTTTGGCATAATCGTACAGGAGGAAATCTTCGGCGTTGGCCTTGTGGACCCCCGCCTTTTGCTCTTCCGTCAGGATGGTCTGGGCAGCCGTGCCCTTGGTGGCATCAAACTGGACAAAGTCCTTCTGGAACTTCAAGCCAAAGGTGGCCTCAAATAGCTGCTGCGTCTCCTTCTGATACTCCAGGATGCCAAAAAAGGCCAAACGCTTGAGGTTGCGTTTGGCGCTCTCCAGCATGCCGGCCCTACGTTCGGCGTCCGAAAGCTGAGACAGGTTGTAGCAGCCCACCGCTGTGAGATCAGCCAGCATCCGCGTCTGGCGGTTGTTGGCCAGGTTGTAGCGGCAGCCCAAAAATTCCTTCAGGGTCACGCCCGTCCAGTCAATCCCCAGGTAGCAGCTGGGGAGCTCCTCGGAGGACGGGACGCGGCCGTCGCACATGTGCATGGAGGTTTTCCAGGTGGCTCCCCGCTGGACATGTCGCCACTCACTGAGGTATCGGCTCAGCGGATCCCGCAGAATGGTTAAGTAAAAATACCTGGTAGAGGAGGAGACATGACAGGCAAGCTGATAGGGTAGCATTGATAGGACAGTATGTCCCAAAATGTACGTTACTACAAGTAATGTAGCTCTGATGAGAGCAACAGAGTTACTGATCATAACCGGGGCTCACAAAAAAGTGCATCTTTCTTTCAAAACTTATCTTTATTGTAATTTAATTTAACCCCTTCGCTACGGAGGACTGCTACTACGGCACCACTGTATGAGGATTAGTGCATACCACACGTACAGTCTATTCACCATGCAGCTGCTGGTTCAATGGGGCCTGCTGATGGACTAAGCCCTCCATTCAGGGCATACCACAGCCCAGCAGTCGCCATCAAAATAATCCCGCCATGAAGGTGTTGAAAAGAATTCATCGCAAAACAGTCCAGGAGACCTCTATATGAACATTAACATACATCTGAGGTTTCGGCCTGACTTCCCACATATCAGATTAGATGTGCACTGAACCAAGACAAATTACATGTATCATTTTTTTGTGTGTGATCCACTTGAAACAAATTTAGCAGGCTGAGCTTAGAAACACTGATGATGTTCCTTGCAGTAAAATGAACATGAATAACGATCATTGTGGCGACAGCCAAGTGCGACAACCTACCTCCTCTTCTTTTTCTCGCCCTCGTACTTATCCAGCATGCTGGGGACACAGTGCGTCAGTTCTGTCCAGTCGGCGTGCAAACCGCACGACCAGCCCATGGAGAACTCGCTGAAGAGCCACGGCTCCCTGTCACTGCCCGGCCGAAGGCACTGGCAAGTCTTCACACCCTTCTTGCACTGGCACGGCTTTTTCAAGTCCAGGTCGTGCACGAGGTGCCGGCCGAACGAGGACCCCCCTGTCTTCTGAATGTGCAGGCAGACGAGGACATCGTTGCCTGTCATGTTGAAGGTCGAACCCCTGGAAGTTAACAATCTGGTGATGCCTGTTGATGTGGCAGATGGCTGTTTGATGTCCGCACACCGGTACATATCCATATCAAACGAGTCATATAACATACAAAGTATAGTTAATATTATTACCGTTGACAATCCGATGACGTAGTAATTTGCCATTTTCAGCTGCTGTACGAAGCTACAATCAAGGGCTCTCAAGGCTCAAGCTTGAGTGTTTGAGTCGGTGCCATTTCATCTCGTCTGTTTGGGGTCGAAGTATCCCACGGTATAGGAGTCCATCTACAGGTATGTATGCATCCTGTGGAGATGAATATGAAGTTTTTAGATCACATGAAAGTTGAATCGGTCACTGGAAGGAATTGTTTCGGGCAAAGAGAGGGGAGCATCCTGATGCCACTTTTTCACACCAAGCGTTTAAATGAAAAGTCACTATATTTTGACCAAAGAGCCTTCAAGGTGAGGCCTTTGTCACTGATCTACCCCCAGAAATGCGGGGTCTGACGTCCGCTCTGCTCCCACATCCCACAGCTCTGGGATTTCTTATGTTTCTGAAATGGTATGTTAAGTCTAAATTCCTGCCAAAATTGCAACTTCATCGTGCAATAAGGTAAAGAACACGACTAGGCCCTAATTGAAGAAAGCAATTAAATTGGAAGAGCACTCATTTAATATTCACAAGCACAAGTACATGTACTAATAGGCTAGGACCTAATCTAGCCCCACAAATAGGGCTGTAGTGGCTCTCTTTTACAATATGTCTCTTATCTGTCGCCACCACAGGAGACAGATTGTAAAAGAGAGCCACTACTACATTTCGACAGCCCTTTTTGTGGGGCTAGGACCTAATCATAATGATCATGCTTGCGTGCTAGTATTAATATCTGGGTACAATCACGACCGTTATCCCTCGCAACACGCACGCACTTACCGTTTCGTTGATACTTATGGATTAGGCCTACGACGTCAATGAAGAACACTAGGCTATCGCCAGCACATCATTTACAATCCTGGTCCTGGGCCGCTGCGTATATCAACATGATGCAGGAAGGAAAACATCCAACACATGTCCTTGTACGAAAATTTCTTGGCAGTTGTGAATCTAAATGTCGCCCTCTAGCGAGCTATTTCGGCTATTCATCATTAGATGAATAGCCGAAATTAACATCTCCCATCTAATTTTGTTGAATTTGGTCAAACATCACATGCAACTCTTAGAGCCGAACTTTTAAAATTGTTTAGTGCTTGTAAATAAGCTACCGAAGACACGTCTAGCTCCACGTCCCAAACTTAACGTCAGGTTGGTGTGATGTTTCCTGATGGAGGTTCAGAGTCAGATAACATCACTTTTTGCCCTTCAACATTTAGACATGGGCGTAAATCCCGGGGGTGGGGGTATATATCCCCCACCCTGTGGGGGGCGAAGGGGCTGTTGAAACCTCCCCCCCCACACACACACTTTTTGTGATGAACAAGAAAATTAAGAAGGGATGTGAAGAATTTTCAGGATTTCCTAACAACTAAAAATAACTTTAGCAAAATGTTTGCAATATCACTATAAAAGGGGAATGCCATTCAGTATAAAAGACTGAACTCGGAAAATCATGAATATTGCCTCTAGTAGAAAATTTTTTTCCCGAACATTTTCTTTTGGATATCGCATTCTAGCAGTAGAGTATTATCACTCTAATGCTCAGTAACAGACCCAACTAAAACTCCCTCTAGGTAATTCTTAAAAGCAAAAAGTAAACTCTTAGTGTGAAATGTAACTAAAACTGGAACAAAACCAACTTGATTTTAGAACAGATATAGTGGCATGAACCGGATGTTTCTACAACCAAAAACAGCAATGAACGTCTATACTAAACACCATCGAACTCTTTCTCACATATGCTTTTATTGCCGGAGAGAGAGAACCAGAAACCTTTATTTACACTTTTTTGCTGGAAGATAGGAAAGAATATTTGGGATTCCAAGCAAAACTGTACACTATTGAAAGAGATTTTCAAAAGTTTGTGACTGATGACAGCTTTCTTATCACTGGGTTTGATGTAATCACTGCTTAAATAACGCTTATTCCAACCTAGAGATGACAACATCATAACTTGGAGGAGGGTAGAGGGGCCTAACTTCTGCATCGGGGAGGCAGGACACAGACACTCGATCACAAAGTTTTTTTCAATATTAAATAGGTAACACATCTTGTACTTGTCCAAAACTTATGCATGTACATTTCAGGTCAGAGAAAAAGGAGAGCAAACACTTGTTCACAGCTCAGAGCCAGCTACAACTTTGAAACTCACATTATGTGGCATGATACACGTGCCTGGCCTCGGGTAATACAGCAATACACCTCTGCGAAGGTGTCGGTGCATATTACCCTGACAGCTGACTGGAACATTTTTGACTTCTGGAACTTTGTTACCATGCCTGTGGAAAGTTCTTGGCCAGAAGGACCCTGATATTTTTGGACGCTATGAAGGCATTTTGACTTCAGACATTTTTAGACATTCCATTCTGTCAAAAAGCAAATGTTTAGAAACTGAGGAATTTTTTTTTAATGAAATATTTTTCAACTTGCAACGCTTAATTCCAGCTTAATACTTGTTACCCATGACGCATGTGGCTACAAAATGATTTCTGCTTTGCTAAGAAGAATTAACGCCGGTCATATGACATAAGATGACTTCCAAATACTGATCACTGACGAGCAGGCTGAATACAGGAAGAAACGACATTCCCCTGCCTTGAAAACCTACATCACGCACAGACATATCAGGGAGCATCTCGACAGCCACAGAGAAGTTTCTCCACTCACACCCAACCAGTAAAACTGATGTTTAGATATCATATTTGCACACACTCTCTTCTGTCACTGCCATTTTGGACGCTAGCAGAATCAAGTTCTAGTGACTGCACAGGTTATGCCTAGGGAGTATGAGAGACGAACCTCTGGTATGCCCTCCGCAGAGGTCTGGGGTTCGAAATGAAGGCCCTAGTTGGCCAATATCTGGAAGAAATATGCCACCTCTAGCGGGCAGTCTTCCGGGAGGTCGGTGCAGTGAACGGCATTCTTGATTTTATTGTGGCCGAAGATGGCTCGCAGGGTCTTGGGCCTGAGGTTACGGGCAATCTCAGGATCGGCCGGACCTACGAACTCACGGAAAGCTTCAGCTGTCTGCTCCCCTTTACCAGTGATCTCCAGTGCAAAGCAGGGGCCAGAACACAGCTCTTGCACCATGTCCTACAAAGGAAACCACAAATTTGCCGTATCTTTGAATCATAATACAATAAATCACGTGAAAGTTTCCCTTTTGTAACTTTTTCTAATTGTTCATTGGATCAACGAAAGTCTGCAAACTCAAAAATGGTACCCTCAGTCAGACGGAAACTTACGCCATATTCGTTCACGACACCCTTGTAGACCTCGAAAAACTCCTCTGCGTTGGCTTTCTCCATGTGGAATATCTGGAGGGCGGAGACTTCAAAACCCGCCTCCACAATGGCCATCATGATCTTGCCTGCCTTACCTGAAGACAAGAGAAGGAAAACGTCATCACGAACAAAGAAATGGTTTATGGAAGCAAATGGAGGTTTAATCTACATTGCTGGCTAGTGAAGACATCAGAAAAGAGACCTGATCTGGTGATTTGCTATATTCAGGAAAAGGAGAAAAAGGCGTCTGAAGTGACTTTTATCCTCCTCATTCTAGCGATTCTTAGTTAATTTAGGGAAAAATCCCCTAACTTCATCTAAGGTATCCCAAATTGTTATCAAATGTGCTCACCTTCCAAGATGGCACTGGGCTTGATCACACAGCACGTAGTGCCCGAGAGCTTAGCTGTGTTCTTCCACTTCCTATCGGCACCAAAGAAGAAATTTGTTTCTCGCTGGCCAGTCTGAACTGCGTCTGAACCGTGGCACGCATTCATGGTCTGATCTGAATTGGGAAGCATATACACGTAAAGAAATAAATCGCCATTGGACACTGTGTCAGAGACACGTTTGTTTGACTGGCTAGAAACTCTTGCTAAGCACCGACTTGCTGACGCTACCTGTGCCAAACTTGGCTCGGACGCTGTTTGGCGCCTCACTGCGTGCCATGCTACTGTCCGTCGGGCCAAGCAGCCTGCGCCACTCTGTGACTGCGTTGTTTCCCATCAGCTCCATGACCACGATGGGGCCGCTGGCCATAAACCGCACCAGTTTGCTGGAAAAGGAGAAAGAAAAAATCAAAGAACGGTCAAATAAAAATAAAAAATCAATGATTCTGCCTAGGACAAAAGCACAACAGTGATGCAATGTAAACATTTTTAATTTGTTCCAAGACTGAGACCAGTTATCATCAACAAATCTGGAATAAAGTCAGAGATATATAGTTAGTCTCCTCTTCCAGACGGGACATCGAATGAGCCGAGATTCTTTCTACTCACTCAAAGAATGGCCTCTGTACATGCTCCTGGTAGAACTCCTCCGCGTCTTGCCGGGTCATCTGGGTCATCTTGGCATTAGCGATGAGAAACCCACCCGCATAAATCATATCAATGATGGCACCTACAAACAAACAGACAGCCCAACTGTTCAGTAACTTTGGTGCATCAAAGCTACGAAAAAGTAAATACGGGTCACGGTACAAGCTTATGAATACGAAAGAATGTTAAAATTATGGAGACCATTCACACATTCAGAAAGCAAAGGAAACAATGTCACCGTTTCAAACTTACCAAATTTAGACACAGCATCTGGCTTGATCATTGCAAGAGTTCTGATGAAACAGAGAAAATGAGGAAGACATTTTGAGAATTTCCTAATTGGTATTGTATCTCAAAGCCTGTTTTTACGTGAACTATTGAAACATTTGACACAAGAGGGTAAAACAAATCTTACTCCTTGAGGTAACTGGTGCGATTTGGGCAAACAAATTTATGACACGGCCTGCTCGATCGGGCAATTTAAAAACCAAAACCAATTTGTCACGGCCTGCGCCCTAACAAGGATTGCCCAAGTGGTTGCATGTGTGATTCTGGTATGGGACCCCCAAACTTTCAGCAGGACCAGTAAAATTTTGAAGTACTGATCCTGCTGGCTACCAGGAAAAAAAAAGGTTAATTTCGACTCCTGCATATACTGCAGAACCTCTGAGCAAAAAAGCATTAAACTCACTTCTCCTTCTTTGAGCTGAGCTGTTTCTTGGTGAATTCATCTGCATACTCCACCAGGTTCAGCTGTCTGGAGTGAACGTTGATGGTGCCCCCGATATACAGGTCTTCAAATCTCACGTTGTCCACCTTGGAACGCTTCAGGAATATCCGTCTGTTCTTGATGTCATACTGAGAAATTAAAAGAAAATATTTCAATTTTCTTACGAGTACGAAATACTGAGTGTCTTTAGGTCTACTAAAACAGCGCTGACTTTAACATGATCAAAACCAAATACATGAACGGCACCAAAAAAAACAAACATTTGATCTTACTTCTGGAAAGTTGAATTTCTGTTTTCAATTTCCCAATTTTCTTTATCTTGTGCATACAAACTCACTAACATCACAAGTGAATGGTCTTACCATTTCCACTGTGTTGTCCGATGTATAGAAGAGAAGCTGATAAGATCGTATGATGGCAGCATTCTCATCATACCATTCAGCGATGAAAGCAAATCTCTCAGGTTGTGACTGAAAATGTATGCAAGACGTAAAGCCAACAATACTTTCAGAATAACTTAAATACCGAGTTGATAAATTTCAACCAATTATTTCCCAAAATAATTTGACCAATTTAAATTTAACAGCATACTGAGTGGTTTTAGTGGGATTGTATATTTGGGACCCCATTCCTATAACAGAAGGGAGACTGATATTTCAACTTTTGGATTCACCTTTGCAGATGATTATGACATCATGCTAAATAACTGTAGGGTTGATGTTGTGAAAAGAGGCCAGGGTTTTGAGTTTTGAGGGAAATTATAAGGGGAAACTGTGAGTGTTTTAACACATGAAACACTGTGGTTTTAAACTTGCATGGCTAGTTTATCAGTAAGAAAGTCATATTTTCTCACAATTTACAATTTGAAATTTCTAAAAAATAGGGTCAGCACAATAAAGAAAGCATTGCCTTTTGGGGGGGTTGACCAGTTTTACCAGATTAAAATGAAAAAACAAAGTGTTGAAGTACTTTTACTTGGTACTCGAACTCCAGTACTACTCGAGTACCGTCTACAGACCACTTGTGTCTTACTTGTACTCAAAGTACTTGTACTCGAACAACAGTTCTTGTACTCGGGCTGCAAAATACTCAGAATAACAGTAGTCGATGAAAATATCATTTAAATCCAGTAATGGCCATTGAAATACAACGATACAAGAAAATTGATCCTCACAGACCGATACTCGGTATGGTCCAACAAACACAGGGTCTACACATTCATCGCCTCAGCCAATTACGAATGCGAAACGCTGTGTATTCCTAGTCTTGGTTCCAAGACTATTTATTCCGCGACACAAACCATTACCAGACACAGCAGCCAGAGGGGGTACTGTCACTGTGTATGACCTTGTAAAGGCACACTGCATGCAATAACGGATCGCAGCACTGAGACAGGCATCTTGGGTCCTGGACTAGTGATGTACTCAGACTTTCAGGTACTTGGAAATTAAGTACTTGGCAGTACTCTTTAATCAAAAAAAGTACTAGACTACAACACTGCAAAAAATTGTGGGGTCCCCAAATATACAGTCCGTGTTTAGGATTAGATAGACATAGACCTATAATCAGATACTTAATGTGACAGCCTTCTATCAGTCGCAATAGTATTTGTATTTGTAAAACATCCTTTGCATATTTCATGTTCAAGATAACTTTTGTATGCCTTCAATCAACAAAACAGGCCTCATTGAAAGTAAAACACATCATTATTCATTGTGCCTTTCTTCATCTTTATTCACATCTTTCTTTTGAAAACACCCTGGCACTGAAACAGAAAAATGCATGAACGTGATGAAGCAAAACTAACTCCCAAATTAATTTCAAACGAGGAGGCTAGCGCCTAAGCCCTGAAACAAACTCATTCACAAGCTTTCTTTATCCCAGAATATTAACACATGACTGAACGGCCTAAAAAGTGCACTAGGAAATGTTAAGCTGAAACGTTGAATACGTTATTCGCCCAGGCCCGGTCTGCAACTTTCATCATTTTTCATGCTGTGCTGGGCCTATGGTGGGACTTTCCCCGATGAGAAACTAGCTCCCGAGGAACTTGCTCCGAGTATATTGACGCAGTCCTAGCCTGCAGGAGAGAACTTGATTACAAATGTATTTCTACAGTGACAAACTTACCATTTTCAAAACGTTTATTTAACTGTTCAGTAATAAACAATGTGAATCTGCTTGAATCGATACTGTTGCATATAGGGCCTATAATATAACTTAAGTTGTACGCACAAAGCAGAAACAAATCTAGCAGTCGATAGTTTCTTCCCTCTCGCTTCCGACCGGTTGTCAAGCAACTTATTTTATTTACTTATTTATTTTTAACAACATAAGATGGTCATTTTCTAATTAAAAATATATAATAGAATTTTAAACTAAATTTTTAAAAGAGTAGATATCTTGTATTTCTTTTTCTCTCATTTAAAGGTATCCAAGAATGAAATGTTTAATAAATTTTTAATTATTGTTTTAAATAAATAGATTTTTAAAACCACTACAGCTTAGGAGAGCGCCCTCAAACGGATGGGCTGATGGAATTGCATAAAAAAAACTTCGGAAGAGGGCGCAATACAAAGTTATGTGAAAGTTTTCACAATAAATCTGAAAAATGGACATCAATTCAAAATTTAAAAAAAGCCTATGAAGGTAAAGGTAAGACAAGAAAGTCTTCCTTGGTGAAAAAAAATGAACGGGATTTTTTTGTTGTACATCGTGGGCGTAGCCGGAATTTTTTCCGGGGGTGGGGGAAGCACTCATTATCAGCAACAACTTATTTTAAAACTTTAACAGTGGGAAGTACGGAGTTCATAGGGACATGGGTGAGAAAAAACTTGGAGAAAAAAATGTTCGGTCGAACGAAAAAAAAATTCGTTCAAAAAAAAAAAAAAAAAATCGTTCGAATGTTTTTGCTTTTTGTTCGAACAAATATTTGTCCAAACTTGTTTTCTCACCCATTTCCCTTTAAAAGCTATGTAGGAAAGGTTTTTTGTTTTTGTTTTTTTTTTACAAATTCAGCCCCTTTCTTTTTTTTTCTCATTTTGTTCACTTCCCCCTTTTCTAAGGAAAAGCACTCGCCCCCTTGCGATGACCATGTTGCTTTGTATCCAAAGGTGAAATTTAGAAAAGTGGTACATTCAACATTGTAAAATAAAACTACTTTCATAATTCAGCGCTGGGCTGGTATGCCGTGGCCGTGGCCGGGACGGTAGCAATCTTAGTTTATGGAGTTCTCTGTCATGTTCTGTTAAATAAAACTGAGAAGGGGTTTAGAAGTTAGACATGAACAGATGATCACAGAGATGTGACAAGCTAATTTGTTTGTTTGACCAGTTTTTTTTTTAAACACCGTCAGCGCTCAACCTTCGAAGCGAAGGTTGTCTTTAATCGATTGATCAATGTCTCTAATGAACTCAGGGTCACAAGGTCATGGTATGCTAATTTCACATAAACCCAGACGTCTATAATGCTTTTAAAGAGATATGGACATAGGGGATCTGACTACTTGCACTAGTATATTCCGACAATTCTTCCTCAGGCTCCGTGATCGCATTATAAAATCGGAAGGTTGGCGTTTGTGAATAAAGGACAGATTTTATTGTTTGCTGTGATATTTAAGAGTGGAATAACAACGTAAAACCTTTCGCCAGTTTTCTTGGAGACAGAAATGTCTGATTCAGAGGTGATAATGAAGGACGAAACGTGTTCAACGGCGAACGGCAAGTCTGGTCCTTTGGAAACGACGAAGCAGGAGACGGAAGTCAAACCGTTTACATTGAAGAAATGGAACATTGTAGCTATGTGGAGTTGGGACGTGGACTGCGATACGTGTGCAATATGTAGGGTGCAAGTTATGGGTAAGCAGTCGAAATCACTTTTTAAAGTTACCATCCCCCCACTGAGGAGTTTTCAGCTTGATGATATTTCTTCATGAATTGATATTGAGTCTTTATTCATCCTACATTTCAGATGCTTGTTTACGCTGCCAGACAGAAAGCAAACAAGAAGAATGTGTCGGTAAGAATTCATCAAATTGACTCGCAAGAAGTTCTGTCTCAATAAGGCTTTTTCACGTTTCATGTGGGCATGCTCAGAAGATTTAATGGAAATGATGGAGAGGAACAAATTCATGACAAGAACGTTGCATAGTGGTTGGGGAATTGCTGCGCGTAATTGTTATTGCAGAAAATTTCTTCCTCTAGCTTTGTTCTTTTCATTCCACTGGGACGCTATAATCAACATTGCGACGGAATGGGAAATTGGCTTATTCTGCACATTATGTTTCTTACGTTTGCTTCTTTCTTCACAAATTGGCAAATAACACAAGAAACACTTCTGTGGACACATTTTAATCTTAAAGTGTTTTAAAGTTGATAACCATTGTTAACGGATATTGAAAAGCAAATTATGATTTGGCTTTGCTATGAATGTTGAACTAAGAAAACCAAATATGTTTAATTGCAAAGAATTCTAAAGTGAATCTTGCATGTACATTTGTCTTTTTCTTTCACAGTTGTGTGGGGTGAATGTAACCACTCATTCCATAATTGCTGCATGTCCTTGTGGGTCAAGCAGAACAACAGATGTCCACTGTGCCAACAAGAATGGATGGTGCAGAGAATAGGAAAGTAGGTCTTACTCGGGAGTTCACCGACAGGAGAGACCAAGGGCAGAAGGAGAGACCAACGGGAGATATGTCATCCACTTTTTCGTGGAGGACCCGTCTTTAGTACAGGCTGCGTCAAGAACACCTACGGGATGGGGATGCCATCAGGATGCCAGACGGGTCACACTTTGCTGCATCCATCTGGCCATGATGAAATTTTCAAGAGTGGACTTGCCGCTAGCTCTGATGTTCCTGGATTACAAGCCCGACGTCTGTAAACACGAGTCATCTGTTCATGTATTTTAACCTCAGTGTATATATGCAAATACACTTCCATTGTACTCACTTTTGACTGATGCTCCGCCTTTTGTTGCAAAATGGAAAGATGAGTTTCAGATTTTTTAGAAAAATTTTTGGCCAGTGTCAACCCACAGCGATACCACTCGTGCAGCAAGATTTCCCTTTGATCATTCTTGTACAGCACGTTTTCCTTGTTTGAAGCTGAAATACGGCAGGCCTGTAACCTGCCCTTTTAAGATACAATCAGCATGCTCATTGTTTGACAAAGAAATTTGAAAATGCATCCGCAAGAGCTTCATATGGACGTATTATAGGAACTGAAGATTTTTCCAGGTGCAACGGAAGTTGTAAAGTGTATTGACATATTTATTTGCCTTCGCAAATGCATGAGAATTTCCGTTTTCTGTGTAGGGATTACTGCATTAGTCAAAATGCCCCCAGTTGGATATCGGACCTTCATCTTTCCACACAGCTCAACTCGAGTGTTTCCTTCTGTGGCGTCGCAACCAGTTGAAGACTAAAAAGAAAAGATGCTCACCTTTTGGCCTCGTACCAATTTCATATACATGTAATTGGATATTCCTCCACAAAAAGCTTAGCCCATGTTGATCTGGAATCTTTGAAGTCTAGACTTAGTTCATGCCCGAAGTTTAGACGAAGCCAAGGTTGAAAGAAATGGCTCTAAACTTTTAAAATGAACATCTGTTTGATTGTGCCCATTGCTGATGGCTCTGGTGGGAACTTCAACTCAAATGTATGACTTTATTTCATGTGCATCTGGATTTTAAAAGTTGAAGAATGGCATACTGCCAGAGCAAACTTTAAAAAAAAAAAAATTGATAACTTTCTTCAACAATGACATAGTCGAGTTACATCTTTTGTGTATCTGTTAAAAAATGTTAATAAACAGAGTGAATTTATCGTAAACACAACTGTGCTGCTTATGGTAGCTTTCACTGTTCAGAAAACAACGCATATTCCATTCTGGACATTTTAGTTCAATACTCCAAGTGCAAATATGCGCCATATAAAAATACAGTTGTAAATGAAATTTGAAATACATGTACTTATTCCTGAACTTGCCACCTTCAAAAACTGGCAAGTTTCACATACTCTTGCATACGAGTTCTCAATTTCTCCTTTTTGGGGGTATAATTTTGGGGGGTATAAACCACTACTATTACGCATAAAAAATGGACAAAGTTGACAAACCACGGGTCTCACCCAGTATTCTTTTTTGGTTTTTATTATTTTTTTTCTCTTAAAAGTCAGCACTACACATTTCGAGTGAGTGGCACCAGACGAAAGTTTTATACAAACCGTAGTAGAGAAACATGACCACGTGAGACAAATGACCAATCCACAGTGATTAATCCAATGAAAAGCTCCCTATCCACGATCCATTCAGCCAATACTGGGGGGGGGAGGGGGGATGACTGCAAGTTGCCTTGGGCAGAAGGGTTCTCACTAGCTGCCCTCGCCAAATCAATTCTGGACGTGATACATGTGTACATGCAGTTGTTCTGACAGTCTAGTTGTCTGGAGGAAGCGTAAACCAAGTCGGGGCAAGCGAGGTCCTACATCAAGGCATTGGCCTGATTTTTATACCGACTTCTTTCTCTGCTTTGATCAATGAGAGTTATACATGATGGGGGTCTCTGTGATGAGCAGAAAAACACAGGGTAGACACACTCAAGATACAAACCATTAACTTAGCACACTTGGAAAGCTTGAGTTTAGTTAAGCAATACAGGAATATCCCCTTCATGACAGAAGCAACGTATTACAGCTGAACAGCACAATCTGAAGGACTTTTTATGGAATAAAACTTTTTTTAAGGGTATATATCATTTATATACTTCTATATATTAGGGGTATATATCATACACTTCAAAGTTCATGTGGTACTCCTGTGGGCCACACTGCCTATCAATCATCAATGTTAAATGAGATCCTTGGCCAGTGGGATATTAAAGAGAAAATGGAACTTGGGGCCAATTTTGGCAATAAAACTCCGACAAGGAGGGCTGTTTAATGGAGTCCAAAGTTCACTTTGACATGTGACGAGGGCTGGCCTCTTGTAAGCTTGCCTTGCAACATTGGGGAAAATGTCCCACCACTTACAGCTGTGTGCATTTGCATGAAACGAAAGTCAAGAAACGATAAAGATACGAAAGAGAAAATACCAGAATGTGGGACCCGAAGACAGATAAAATATTGGAAGAGCAACAGGGCTTCACTGTTGTCGCATTTAAAATGTAATTAACTCCTTATTTTGGCCATGTGATGTCACAAATTAGATCGATCAATGTACAGAATGAGTGGAAACACCAACACAAACTGTAAACCACGGAAACAAAATATACAGACCGGTTACAGTTTGGTGACTCATAAGCACTAGAATCTGAGGTCATGGCATGCTCTTTTTTTTCCCCTCGAGAAACGAATCTTCACAAGAAAAAAAATGTGTTTACCTTGACAAATTCCCTGGTGATCAGGGTCATTTGGATGCACATTCAGGAAGGGGGGCATGTATTACTGATGCAAAGAGTAGCTTGGAAGCCATCCCATCTGGGGACTATCATGCTATAACTTTGGGCATCCTCGAAAAATGGACAAAAATCACAACGCGAGGACTTTCCACATACCAAGTTCACAAACATCAGAAACACAAGGTGAGGTTTCCTTCCATCTCACAGAAGAGGGATACGTTCAGGTGCAAAGCAAACAATGTACAAACAAAAATACAAACTGTACAAAAAAGAGACGGAAATATGTAAGGCAACAAACGGTTGGTAGGTAGAGAGATGTAACAGTCTCACCAGTCAGACACTTCTAAAAAAAAAAAAAACCAACACCTTATGTCACGGACCACTGTACTTAGCTACAGTGCTTCAAAGGCCATGCAATTATGTATGGTAGGCAGAACCAATTAAATATACTCTTTACTGATCGCCCATTCGTTTGCAGTGACTCCACTCATTAACAATATATCTCATTGGTCTGCCGGTTGCTCTAGATCAGCTGACTTCAAAGTCTACTTCACTCAAATGGGGAAAAGAATTTGACAGAACCAGAATTTGTGGCCTTTTCTCTCAACTGTCGTTGTCTCTCCCTCTGGTTTCAACTTGAACTTTTTCCAGTCATTTCAATTTGATTTTCAATTACATGATGCTCACATTTTCTCAACTTGGACTCATAACACGGGATTCCCTTTTTTCCTTTGGCAAAAAACAGGTTCATCTTGAGCTGCAGACGCTAAGTTAAGGACCTGAAATTGCGAACACGACGCCTGAGATTTAGTTCAGTTCGAAAACCATCCAACAGAATAGCGTGACCAAACACCTGCCATTTACATGAAGTCGGACTCCACCAAATGAACATGTGGTGGGGAAGAAGATTCAAAAGAGAAAGTGTGTTTGTAAGAGGACTTCTATTTTGTACAATTTTCTTTCAGCTGTTCCAGCTAAGTGAGTTCAGTGTCTGCAGAGCACAGGCCCAGTGGTTTTTCTTGGTCTGGAGGTCGGCATGTTCCAGTCAACTTTGACCCCTTCGCTCCCAACAGTGTTGCAATTACGCTCATCCTACTACTCACTGGCTCAACAAAGGACATGCACCGGGTCTCAGTAAATTGTTACTGACTTACAGGACAGAGAACAATCGGCAGGAGCCACCCCGTTAATAGAGTACCGAAGTGCATACGCCACGCACATAATTATGTAATAGGCATTACTGCCAGACCCAGCGAGTGGACCAACATGTGCGTGCTCCACTTGCTCACACTACGCTTCCCGGGGCAAATGACATCAGGCTTTGGTACTCTATATGGGCACTAGGTACACATGTACTTTGCAATTAGTACAGGGATCTGATAACTAAAATGCTCCATGCATTTCTACTTTGCCCCCTTACAATTCCGTCCATGAGGAATCCAACCAACACTGACGTCTATCCCAAAGCCCTGGTTTTTTTAATTTGACAAATAGCTCCCAAAGTAAGCTGTGCCAGAGAAAGCCACAGTTGTTCTTCGACCACCCACCCTGCCACCCAGCCACCCCTTAAAAAAGCCTTAGCTTAACATTAGACCAGAAAAGGGGAGAGTTTATAATAACCACTTGTTTACAAAGAATTAACAAATAATTCTGTCAGTTGCTTTGACAGCTGGCTTTGAAGGTCACCGCAAGAGCATTTCGTATTTTGCAGTAGAAAAAAACTTCCCTGAGTCTCCGTAGACGACTGTACAGACTATTCCCCCCCCCTCAACCCTACCCCCAAGGTTTCTGAACGACATCCCCATCCATCTCGGCAAGGATGTGCCCCTGAGGGCTACTGGTGCTAGATGCTGGCATGACCTGACTTGGCATGCACGACTCTACCGGCTGCATCCCCTTTGCGCATGAACCAACAAAGGCGATATCCGAGGTACGTACAACTGAGGAACTTTTGATTCCACTACTGACTGCTGAACGACACTCCTTGAGATATCCCCAAGCACGCTCTAAACTTGACCTTTTTTCCCCCCCAGAGCATGTAGAGACACAAGGAGCTTTGCCTGCAAGTACAAAGTCTGCAATGACATGCCTGATTTGACTGCTTCAATGACACACTTGGTAGCTTGGTGTAGTGTTGAGTGTTGCAGGTGGTGCCCACTGCACCGGGGCACAAAAGAGATGTTTCAATCTCAGACGCAAGATGTTCACTCTGAGTCAACTCCTCGGGGAGGGGGATCTGTTATGTGCACCAGCCCCGTACCGTTTGTCGTGGGGTCTGACACACGTTCACAGGATGGCTGGCAGACAGCCTCGGCAGGCAGCAGGAACCATCTAGGGCAGTGGTGAACGCCTCCATACCCTCTCACCAGTGTCTTCCCTCTGATGTCGCACTATGACATCACAACCCACCGCACCAATGCCAGGGGCACGTGGCCCAGTCAGCCGCACGCTGCCTCTCACGAGGTTAACGGCTCAGTCTTTGGACCTGGTAGCAATCATTTTTGTACTGTCCTTCTCTTAAATGTTCAGCTTTTCATCAATCCCGCTCGGTATTTTGTCCAGTTTCTAAGAACTTGTTTTTGGTTCTTTTTATATTTTACACAATCCTGGTACAAAAAATCTTTCCCCCTTTTTTTGGTCAGCAGAGGTTTGCATCATTTCCGCAAATCCAAAACACACACCTGGAGGAAAACGACAAAAACGAGAGAAGAAATAATACAGCAATGTATTACTCAGCAGATTAAGGGAAACATGTCCTTAAAGGACGTATGACTCATGATTGATGGATACAAGGGACAGAAGCCCATTTCAATTCTAAGAGAACTCACTGATCAATCACTACTGTGTGTGAGATCAGTTGTCACATGAGCCATGTTAATGCCGTCCCTGGACTATGTGGCCCTACTGCAGTTACTGAACAGAAGTTGATGTCACGACTACCGTGACTGGGCTCCACGTCCTCAAATACCACATCAAAATGACTTCTGGTAAAGTTTTCTGAAAAGGTTAAGCCACAAATGCAACAAGGATAAAAGAAAACAGTAACTTGATGGGATTTGACTTACTGAACCGTCCGATGCACTCGCTCCAACCTTATCTCCTCTTGAGTTCCAACAAACTTCAAAGATGCCCCCCGTCCCTCTATAACTATGTACAAGTGAGCCCGTCTGTCCGAGTAAAAAAAGAAGACTGGGGAGCGTTAATTACTCAAAGGAAACAAATGCAAGCATCTAGAAGACAAGAAGCAGAGAGGCCAAAGTCAGAGACCCCTCTAACAGCAAGTTTCTTTTCTTTT